TGGACTCTGATGCCGGACCTTTCTAGATAGAAACCAGACTCTGTCTGGACCATGACATCATTCTGACATCATAGGTAGGAGCTAGGCTCAGGCACTAGGCCATAGGCCGGTCAATTCTGGACCCTAGGCCCAGGGCAGGGCAGGGCAGGGCCAGACTATGACATCATCGATAACACCATATCGCACCATAGGGCACATGATACTTAGTAATCCTTACCAAGCTAGGTACCAGGGGTCCATTACCGGTCCCTGGGGGGTTTTCCCTCATGTATATAAGGCAGCATCCTGGGGCGCCCTGTCCCCCAGTTCTATTCACTTTGTTGTTGCGCTTAACAGCATTACCTCCCCATACTTAAGTGTTATTATCTCCCCCCCTCAATATCAAGCTATAAGGTGGGTTTGTAGGTTTTGTGATAGTTGAATAGAACTACTTTAGGTGCACTGGGCCCTGGCAAGGGCCCCTTGCTACCTGGTTTGTTACAGGGCCTATTGGTCGTTGCTATGCCCCTATGCTGCAAAGCGTAAGGTGGCCTTTTCATGTGGGTTCTGGGGGTTATGGTTTGTCAACTGAAAAGTGGCAATACCTTTCTGCGAAGCACCTACCTTTATTGGTCAGGGTTGAACAATTGGTGTCAACATGCTGAGCTTTTCGCCGGTCCCTAGGTGTAAGGGGAGGTTGCTGCCCTCAGGGCAACACACTGGAATGTGGTTTACCATTCTATGAGGCCTTAGGGCTTACAACGGATAACCAGCATGGGCAGCCTTAGGGAGAGTGTAAGATTCTCCCAAAACCACTTGCAGTGGGCGTGGAAACCCAACTGAGATCTGTATTCCCCCCTTCCTACCTGCTGAGAGAGAGCAGAAGGACGCCGACACGAAGCATGACCAATGGACCCTGTAGTATAGCACATACCCTTTTCTTCGCTTTGAAAAGAGCCAGCTGAAAAGCTGTTATCTAATCCCCTCTGCCATAGCCATGCCGAAAGCCAAACCTTCCATCGTCACTGCCAAGCACGAGCCAACAGGCCTGCTTGAGCGTATCACCATCCACAACACGCACAAGTTCGATGATGTTGGCAAACCTTGCTGAACTGTACACCCCACCATACTGCCACTCATTCGCCACCCCTTCAACCCTGAACACGCTGAAAAAGCGAAACACGACATCGAGGAGCTTGCACTTCGCGTGCATCTCTTCAAGAAGCAACAATTGCTCAATCATATCTCTGACCCTGCTCCCCCCCTCATTGATCGCATTGATATGCAGGCGGGACCCTCCTATGAATATGAACCACCCAAGCCGCTCCCCAACATTCACTTCCAGCGCACGAAGATTCTGTTGCGCACATCCGAGTACAATGAGATGTTTGCTGCTACAGCTGACAGGCTGGAGCCGGTGTTTGCTCGGATGGAAAAGGAAGAAGGAAACTTGGAGCCAAAAGTTGTGGCAAAGGTTAGGAGGATGGGTGATGGATTCGACGAGTTGTATCATGGGCTGGAGAGGAAGGTGCGCCGGCTTACCAACAGGCACTGGAGAGTTCTCAAGCGCGACCTGAGAAGGATCGGGCATGTCTCCTTTGAAGACTTAAGCAGTCGCCTGCCGGAGATTTGTAATGAGTTGGCTAGCCTTAACATCACCTTCAAGTACGAAGTGTAGATAGTGGAATAAAGATTGGCAATCTTTTCTGGCATAATTGGCTTATATGGCATGAGGAGGAGATCTCCTTCACTTCACTTTTTCTCTCAATCATAAGTGAATACGGGCTAATCACTACAATAAGAAATGGCCCCATACATCCCCTTCGTTCCGACCGCGGCATTCACCATCGCCACGGAAGAAGAATGGCATGATGCAATCTTCCAGAACGTGAACGTTTCTGACGAACAAGCAAACCTGCTGCAGACGGTTACTGCAAATGCTGCAGAATCAACCACTGGATGAGTCAGAGACTGGGTTGGTCGCCTGACCTTAGAAATAAGCAGGCACTACGACAGATACCTTCAGAGCCTCCTTCGAGAGGTTGAATCCCTGCATATCACGATCCAGAACCAGCAGGCACTAGTTGATTCCTACAAGCGACAAGTTGATGCGCTACCTGCATCAACGGGTAGTGGTCATTCCCGTCAACCTAAGATTGGGGAACCTCCAGCCTTCAAGGGCAGTGAGGATAAGGCCAAGCTTGAGGAATGGCTGGACCTGATCGTACTGTGGTGCGAGCATGAGGGAGTGGCCACTGACAAACAGTGAATCGTCATGGCCCTCTCGAAGCTGCAAGGACCAGCTCATCAGTACATGAAGAGCTACTATGTGAAAATGTGGGAAGGAAAGGATCTGGGCACCTGGAAGGCATTTGTGGCAGAGCTTGCCCAGATATACGGGCAATATGACGACAAGGAGGGTGCAAAGAAGGAGATCATGGCGCTGTTCATCAATAAGGATCTGGCCTCAAAGGACTTCGTGAAGTACGCTGAAAGGTTCCGCGCCCTCGGATGTCTCACGGAGTATGATGATAGTCTCCTTATCGACAAACTCCGGGAGGTTATACCTCGTGACATGCGGTTGGTGTTGGCCGGAAAGGACGAGTCCACCTTGCCAAAGGATTGGACGTTGTTCCTCGACATCTTGCTCAACATCAACAAGATCGTCAACCCGGAGAAGGCGCGAGGCTCGGTATTCAAGAATAGTGGCTTGGATAACGGCAGTGTTGTTCCCATGGACATCAATTCGGCTGAAAAGTCGAAATCGAAGGGTGAAGGCAAAGGCAAGGCAAAGGACGCTGAGGCCGCCTCGACAGAGGCAAAGAAGTATTGCGTCATCTACAAGTCAAAGACTCATAAGACGGATGATTGCTACAAGTTGGCCAAAATGCGGACAAGCAGCCAAATACCCAAGGGGATGGCGCTAAGAAGGCACAAGGAGGAAGCAGTAACCCCACGGCCAAGAAGGCTAAGAAAACGCGGGTTATTCAAGTCGAGCTTACGGATAGCGAGGACGACACACCCCCATCCGCGAAAGCCATGAGCGCCAACACTGCGAGAATTGAGGAGACTGTGGAAGTCAAAGAATCAACTCTGGCTGGGAAGGATGAACCCCAGCTATCTGCAAAGACAGAACCCATCGCAGCTACCTCGGATTTTTGAAAGAAGTACATGTGATATGAGGG